ATCTCGCCAATCCCCTTTGGCGGCTTGCGATTGAACTTGGAGCGGAGGTCGCGGTGATGGAGTCCTCGGACGAAGGCGGTGATGACTTTCACTTCCATGATGTTGGGAATAGAATTCCTCATCTCAAAAAAATGCCTAATGTAGCTACAGAGGAGCTCGAACGGCTTCTGTTAGATGCGGTTCAGATCATGCTTGGTGCCTGGTCGAGTACACATAGCCATGTAGTTGTCGGTGAAGACCTTCTTCAGCTGTTCCTAGGATCCGATGGAATCCGGGGCGAGGCACGTGAGCTAGTTCATCGTGGTTGGAGTGAGCATGATGGGAAGATAGTTCGCCATGACGTTGGTATCTCCCCTAGTGGCGCGCACGGCGGTGGCATCAGCTTGTAGCCACTGTGTGGGGTTCATCCATCCCTCGTACAGCTCGACCCCGATGATCTTGAAACCACGGGACCACTGGAGTGTTTGGAGTGCCCTTGTGAATGCTTGGGGCCCTTTAGGATCGTCACCGTCATGATCTGCGGTGTTGCTGGCGTTGGGTGGTTGGAGGGCTATGTCCGGATTACCAAACTCTTGCTCATATTCTTAACGTTGGCGTACTTCCTCTTCATGGCAGGAGAAACAGCACCCGTCAATTTGATTTCGCACATCCCGGAGGTTGTTGAGGTGCGCTCAGACTTCTTGGTCGACTTCTTGATCGTGCTGGTGAGTGTAGTCGATGTGGTTGCCCCCAGCTCCCCCCTGGAGGGGTTGTCCATCATCTCGATGCTAGTTGGCAAAACGGCTTCTGCCGGGGCGGCGATTGGATCTTGGCGTGGTGGATCGGCGAACTGAGCTTGTCGAGTAGGAAGGTATCTGATCTTGGTAGATCTCGTTGACTTGGCAGTGCGCCGCTTTGAGCATTGCGGCGACCTCTGTTGTTTGCTCGCGCCGGGAGAGCTCATTAGCAGCCACGGTCAAGTTGGCGCTTGGGGTCTTTGTAGACGTCGTGGCCGTCGACATGGACGAACTCGTCGTCGAGGTTGCATTGGAGTGGGCGTGGCCTTCCTTGCGAGTCGAGTTGTTCGTTGCAAGCAGCCTCTGCTAGCACAAGGGAAGCCTCATTTGCTCGGCGCTGCACGCGGTTGGCGTTCCTGTTGACATGAGCGGCGCAGTCCTCATCGGTTTCTGCATCCTGTGGGGGGCTGTTGATGCTAACATTAAAAATTCTGCCTCCTCGGAAGGGTGGGAAAGGAGGTTGTACGGCGGTGGTTTCGGCGACAGTCTCCGTCGAGCCCTGGGACTGGGAGTCTGGATTCTCCTCCAGGATGGTTTGGAGGGATGTTTTGGGGCGCTGGTCGATCTGCAGCATGTTGATAGTCAGCGAGAGGATAGACGTCTCCCACCTAGTCGACGAATTTGCCCCTTAGGGCATCTTGATAGGTGGCGGTGATGCTAGTGAGCCCAAAGGGTAGGACCGTAATCCCTAAAGTTTCCTGATCGGCCTCCAATGGATCTGAATTGGAAGGTGGTCGGCGCCGAACCAAAGTGGTCAGAGCCAATTCTACGATGGAGAGGCAATCGGCGAGCTTCTGGCCAACCTAATCGATGGATTCGATCAGATCATCATTGTCGATCTGCTTCCTCGGGTAGCGGGGGAGCAGGCGGTGAGTTGTTGATGAAGACGACCTCAGAGGTGGTTCCGACATCCGATCTGCTATCGCAGGTGCTGGGGTGCTCGGCGTAGAATCGATCTGCACCGGCTCGACGAGCTCTCCGTCTCCATCAGTGTTGATGACCTAGGAGATCGATCCGACCGTAAAGTTCTAGCCGGGTTTGGGGAAGGACGAAGGGCCTACAAAACGTACCATCTTGTTCGACATGGAAATAGCACGCACACCTCTACCTGGTGCGCCAACTATTGATAGAATATCGTCGGCAGTCCTCTGAGGGGTATCCCACGAAGGTAGATTGATTGACAGAGATGCGTGTAATCGAGAACAAGAAAGCAACAGAGACACA